TAAACGAGTTGGCTTGCCGCCTGGAGTGCGAAACGAACTTCACGGTGGACAAGATAAGTACAAATGGCCTTCGTCAAGAAGGCTGCATTCAAGAGATGGCTCGGATAAAGAGAGTCTTCTACTCACATGCAACAATAAATCCGCAAGGCGACAGCGAAAACCAAAGCTGATTCATGGAAGAAGTTCGTTGAGGTATTGGAATCGAATTTCCTTAGGGCAAATAAAGTATTCTTGAAAACCACAGTACCCCTGTTCAAGAATGAAGACTACAGAGAGTGTTCCAATCATCTAGGCATTACCTTATTGAGTGTCCCTGTTAATGTCCACGGAAAGGTGCTACAAAGGAAGTGATTCCAAAAAATACAAGAGCAGTGTTGCTTTTAGTCTGCCGTATGCACATCTGACCAGATGTTCCAGATCTACCTCAGATCGATGAGAAATCGTAAGAGTTTGCGAATCCGGTTTATTTGTTTTGTGGACCTAGAGAGAGCCTATCCCTGGATCCCACGCAACGATCTATGGACATGCCTGTGAACATATGGAATCGATGGTTAACTGCTACGGACCATCAAATCACTACATGCTGATAGCAGGTGATGAGTCAGAGTAAATGGTGTTAAGTCGAAATTTTTTATCGTTCTCACTGGTCTCCGCCAAGGCTGCGTTTGTTCCTCTCTCCGGTTTGTATTGTACATGAATAGAATAGCAAGGTGCAGCCAGGGCGATGAGTGTATCAGCGTAGAGGGTGTCAAGACTAGAACGTTGCGCTTTGCAGACGACTTTGATTTACTGGCAACTTCTGAAACTGATCTCCAGCGCTCTCTGGAAAAAAGGCAGCCGAATGCGACGTGGTCGGCATGTGTGTGAATGTATCGAAAACGAAAAGCTTGGTGCATTCTCGTTCCCAAGAATGGTGCATGTAGCTTTCTTCAGATAAACGGAAAAGCAGTGGACAGGTGAAGAAGCTCAAGTGCTTCAGGGTCGTGTTTACTGGTGATGGAAAATCTGAGGTGAACAACCACCGGATTGAAAGAGCAAGTGGCGGTCTATG